GCCACCCCATTGTATACGATAACATCTCGTTAGTACTAGTATTTTACAGGAAAAAGGCATCAAAATCCTCTCAAAAATGCTAAAGAACAAATTAAAGTGAGTGAATTTCAAAATTCCAAATTAGACTCCTTGTAATATTGTAAAATTTTAAAATATTATGAAATGACACCGCAGTCCTCATTTCCGTTGACTACTTTTATATAGCTATTGACAATTTTAATTTAACTATTGACTATTTTTATTTTTAAAGTCCTGGTGACTACTTTTATGTAATTATTAACTACAAAAGAGTAGTAAATAACTAAGCAAAAAGTGGTCACTAGATTTCCAGTAATATTTAATGTATTTTTTGAGTTTTTGAAACAAAAGTAGTTAATAGCGAAACTAGAGTCAATAGCTGGATAAGAATAGTTACCACATTTTTAAAAATATATAAAAGTAGTCAACTGCAATGCTAGAATAATCAATAGATAAACAAGAATAGTCATCGGAGTTCTAAAAACAAATGTAGTCATTAGCTAAAAAAAAGAAGTCAAAACATAAAAAAAGAGTATCAACAAGACTCTAGCGGCTAGCCACTGACAAGGTCACCAATGTCAAAGCTCCGACGGCAGAAAACCAACTAAGGGTACTACGGTGGCAATATTTAAGAAAAAATGGTGAAGGACATATGTGTAATTTTGTAAGATTTGAAAATTTCAAAATGATAGAAGGGATCTGAATTGGGATTTTGAAATTTGAGCACATTGATTTGTCCTTTAAAAAATTCTAGGGTGTTTTATTGCTTTTTTTCCTATTTTATAAGGCATCACTGCTTTCTTTAACCTTATTTGATCCGAAAAAGGATCTTCGAAGACCAATGAAAGTTGAAGCTTTAAATTGTATAAAATTCTCGGGTGTATATAATTTTTCTTAATAACTTTTACTTAAAATCTAATAGTAAGGAATCTCCAAACTTTCAAGAATATATATGTAATCCCAAACTATTAATTTTATATTTCTTAAATGTTATTTCTGTATGAATATAATCTTCTCAAATTTTGAGTTATGTTTAGATAATTTTCTTAAAATTTAAGTCACTATTAACAAATAAATAATGAACATAAACTAACAGTACCCGAGTTATCTGCATAATTGTTAAATTGAGACATGTTTATGATAAGGTTTCAAAAGTTAATCAGATTATTCACATATGACATAAAGTTTCAGAAAATTTTGTATAATCTAACCTTATTTTTAAATAAATTTTTGAAAAAACTATATTGAAGGTACCTATCTATACTTTCTCTTAATTTTTAATTTAGTATCTATGTGTTTTTTTTAATTAAATCATTTATTTATTTTTAACAACATTAGCTCTTATAACTTTGTTCTATTGGTATTTTTAGTCTATATACAAAAGTTAAAGATGTTAATAAGGCAAAATTAAATATTTAATTAAAAAACATATAGGTACGAGATTAAAAATTAAAAAAATATAAGTACCATAGGTTTCCTCTCTATATTAACAATTTTTGTAGCAGTCAGAGAAAACGCGTAACGGATGTTGACTGGACAAATTTTGCTAAGAGAGAACGCGTAAAGTCTATACCCAGACATCACCAACCTTATAATAAAGTTCTAAACTCAAGCAATTTTTTTTTAAAAAAAATCTATATTTAATGTAAGAAGCTGCTGTATTTTTTATTTTTAAAAAAAAATTAGTTAAAAGTAGTATTAAGGGACAAGATATGATAATAAAAAATCTTTAAAAGTAATTAATTAAATTTAAGTTGTTGACCAGGTTGAGACGGGGTGACTGTGGGGGACAAACACCCAGCCACAGATTTGAAAGTTGGTAGGAGATTTTCATAATCATTAGTTTCTGGACTCTAACGGTCACAGTCAGATAAAACGGTTGCTGTTTGACCAGCCAGGAGTCTTGTTGTGTGACGTTGAATCGTTACCATCACCGTGCAATCAAATCATATCCAACGAGTCTCCACTTACCTACTTAATACTACCCCATATTCTTAATATAAGACTTAAATAATTAATTTAGAAAGATTAAAAAAATAGTTAAATTAATTATTAGTTATAAATAGGTGTTGTTTTTCCTAAAATATCTTTACTAATCATGTATATTAGTTAGAATTACCATTTGATGAAACTTTTAATATGTATAATTATTACAAGGACTACTTTAAAAAAATGAATAAATATGAAAAAAAAATGAATTAAAGTATTATATTTAGGATCAAATTAAAAGTTAAATAAACTTTTACTCCTCCAATCCTAAATATAAAATTTATTTTGTAGTGAAAATAGATCTTACATCTAAGATCAGAGAGAAAATAATAAGAAACATAGGTAGTAATTAATATAAGACATGGGATTCAAAAAACACAACGTAGGATCCCAGAGGAAGGAAAGTGAGTGAACACATGGTGCAGATTATGAGCAGGCATGTCTCCTTGCCTTGCTCTACAAGTGCTAATATCTGGGCCTTGGGATCCATTTCTGTATCTCGTAAGTCTCCAGCCTGTATAGATATTCATGTATCACCAGCCCACTGAGTTTGGTTAAGAGTCCTATGAATTTCATTGCGTAGCTGAAGAAGAAAGACATATTTCAAAACCAACAAAAACAAAGATGTTTATATGACATTTGTAATAAATAATCACATGCATTAGTTTGTGGCTGAGCACACATCGTGTACTTCCTGTGAGATATGTTCATTTGATTATGTTTGATGCTAAATTTTTCACTCTTGATTTCGTAGGAGATATTTGGCAACCTTGTATTCTTGCGGAGTAAGTAGTCTGTTGATTTGTAATCCACTTTGACATAACACCCTTTAACCTTACGTAGATCTGGTCTTCTGGCTCATGTTTTAATTTAGTTCTTTCAACTTTAATTTGTTTTATATCTTATTCAAGCTATACTTATTCATAAAAAAGGGAAAGAAACTGCCGTCTTTGAAGGAATTTGTTCATAATCTCTCAATGACAACAGTTTAAGAAATTGAAACAAAAATATTATTTATATTAAAATAAAATTTCAAAAAAATTAATATCTGTTTTTTCCATATTAAGATATTTTCACTTAAATTTATAGAATTTTCAACGTACATGGGCCTAACTTTTTAACTTGGATTGGTTGTGAAAATTGCAACCCATTCGAAAATGAACCAAGTTTAGCCCAACCCACTTAACTTGTGGATTGGCCTTTTCTAATTTGTATTTTTTAATCAAATATGGAGGTCATGATATTCAAATATATTGTTATTTATCCGTGTTAAATTTTATTTATATATAATTATTACTTTAATGATTTTCATCTTTATTTTATTATTACTTTGTAGATAATATATTCATATTTTGTCATCTATGCTATATTATTTATTTAATTTTGTGGATTTGGATACAGTTAATTGCATTTTTCAAATTTGCATGAACTTGTTGAAAAATACGTCCAATACCCTAAAATATCTTTTTAATGCATTTTAAGGCAAAAGAGTACTTTCAAAGCACCTGAAAACTACTTTAAGATGCTAGATATATCATATAATACTTTCGGATACTGGATATACACTAGAAAAAAATAGTTCAAGATGCTGGATATGCCGAAGGGCAGTGAGGGGGATTTTTATAATTTTTTTAAAAAACCAAAATCTCTATTTAATCATGTATGAATAGGAGAATTTTTCTTATTTTGAGGTCATAATTTGAAAATTTTAAATTCCAACAATCATTTTTCATGCCATTTTCCCGTTTATATTGTTGACATGAAAAATATGTAGAATTAAGAAAACTACCTCGAGGCTTCTGCTTTTTTCAATTTAAAAAACAAAAAGCTTTTTCGTGCTTAATTATTTCTGATATGAAGGAGAAAAATATTCGTTTTCCTTTTTCTATTGAGACGAAACGATATCTATTACTACTTTCAGTCCTAAATATAAAAACTAGTTGAATAATTTAAGTAAATTAAGAAAATAAATTAAGTTAGTTATTTATAATAAACATGTGTTGTCTTTCTTAAAATATCCTTACCAATCAAATTTATGAATTAGAATTATTATTATTAGAAGTACTATCTTGAAAAAAAATTAAATAAATATAAAAGAAAAAATAAATTGAAGTCTCATATTTAAAACTAAAATAAAAATCAAATGAGTTTTATATCTACCGGTAGCACTTCATTCCACTTTATATCCTTGTAAAAATATGTACTCCTCTAGTCTTAAATATAAAATCCCTTTTACAGTGTAAAATTATACTACAAAAAGTATCCCATATTTAGAACGAGAGGAATATAATGCATCAAGCGAAACTAAGACGCGGATGTTATTTCTCTCTTTAGAATCGATATAGGAACTTTCGGCCAAGTCAGTAATCCCTTGGAAGCATGCCATTGCGCAAGCCGTAAGAAGCAAGAACTCAATTTCAAGGGCGCATCATTTGCCTAGTCATGGGTGATTCCCCCCCCCCCCCCCAAACAAAAAAAAGTCGATTAAAATCATCTTAAACTTTTACTGAATTTAGAAATAAAAAAATATCACAACAATGGTGATAATAAACAATAAACAACAAAGGAAATTTCCTTTCAGTGATTCAAAATCATTTTATACAACAACTGAATACAATTGCATAATAATAATCAATTTGTTCCTGCAAAATTTTTTTGTAAAGGGAGACGGGGGAGGCTTAAAAAATAAATTAAAACAACCTCGTCCTCCTTCACTTCCTCAGTAGGTTTAGACGCAAAAATGGACCCGCCTCCTTTCAATTCTAAACGATATCAATTAACGTCTAAACAATAGCAAAATATCACCAAATAAAAGCCAGGGATTCCAGCTTACAAGGTTGCAACTAGTCACCATCCCTGGCCACCAAACGCACATACTTCTTCTCAACTGCAAATCTGGAACTCGAATTTATCTGTCACCATACGAAATTTCATAAGAAACACATGTAATTGGTAAGAGATAAATGAACATAAATACAATCGAATGGGCCAACCTTATGCTCAAGTGCCTCACTAAGTTCAGTTTCATCAACTTCAACGCCAGATTCCTGCAAGGCTTTCAAGACATGTTTTCTCAACTTCTTCATCTTCAATTTTCCATCAGGATGCTGCTTCCCAGGAAAAGGAAAGCACATGTAAGTGCACAAACAGGCATACAAAACATAGGCAAACTAAATTCGCTAAAATTTACCCCTCACTCGGAAAAGGCATATTTAAAGGAAATTCATCGGAGAGGACAGAAGGTCCATGCATACAATCTCAAGCTCACTATGAGGATAAGAACTGCGCATCGTCCAAAATAAAACACAAAATAAGCACACATATCACTCTGAATCCACAGATACTTACAGATTTCAACTCTGATTTGATAAACTTCTTCCACTTTATGTTCTTCTTGTCATTAACCATCGTTTCTTTCTTCAAACGATCTTCTTTTCTCCCAGCCTCTGCTCCTTCAGCCTGAACTACTTCCCCATTTCCCAACTCACCTGAATTGTCATCCCTGCCCTTTTTCCTGTTAGGGTCATCCTCCGCCACATCAGATTTCCTCTTTTTATTTGATTGAGAGATTTCATCCCCCGATTTCAAGTTATTGTGTTCAGATGGATCTTGCAATTTTGTCTGCTGTCCATTATTGTTGAGTTGGACCTTATCATTGGAAGCTTGCTCCACTGGAAGCTTTGCATCCGGAGAAGATGCGTCCATCTGAGTTGGTTGTTGCTTTGCAGCATGGAATGCCCGAGCTTTTGCCCTGTGTTTCTTTCCATCGGCGTGGAGAAGATGTGTTTGCTTACTCGTAGCTCTTGTGTTGCAGAGGCTGAAAAGCAACAAATAAATCAAGGAGAATGAATTTGGTGGCAGTGCAGCCAGCAACAAAGCTTAGTTAATAACTTAAGATTCTGGGAACCAAGTACAGGCACAATTCAATTCCCAATTATTAACAGGACACATCTGTAAGGGTATTTCAGATAATCAGTTGTTTTTTACAATAGAACTAATAACTGCGTGGATTCTAAATGAAGAGGTAAATAAGGCATCCGAATAAACAAAAGGACAAAGAAGGCATCATCTACCAATCTGGAATTTTGATTTTGAATTTTACAAAACATATAGTGGGATTTACAGCTTTCATAGCAAGAGTTACTACTTCGTCAATAAGTTTTGCAACATGTTTTGAAGGGCTGGGTAAGTTTTGCCGAATTTTACAAACACATGATGAGATTTACAACTTTCATAGTGAGATTTACTACTTGATCAATGGGTTTTACAACCTGTTCTGAGGGGTTGGGCAACTTCTCTATAAAAAAAAAATATAATTCCATGCTGAATTTTACAAAACACATAGTGGGATTTATAACTTTCATAGTGAAAGTCACTACTTTTTCAATGGGTTTTGCAATATGTTTTGAGACCAAAAATCAAAATTTCATATTGATACCTAGTGCCTTATTTGTCATTTTGTTTATTCAGATGCCTTATTTGTCATTTTGAAATTCAGAAGGTATTTTATTATCATTTTCTCCTTAATTAATCAGGAGCGGTAATTAAGTACTTGCTTTGCCACAAAATCCATAACCTCGATCAGAGGCACTAATATTGGTAGTTCACTATTTTTTCTTGTTTGTAGTGATGCAGACAAGAGAAGGTGAGCTTTCCAAGCTACAAGTCTACTTTTAATCATGTAGAAAGAACATGGTTGCAGATGTGAAATTTATTCCTGCCAAAATATGTAAAGTATCCAAATATTTTCGTAGCTAGTCGAGCAGAAAAACAAACTTGCATGAACTTGACAACTGAATTTTCAGATGAGGAATATTTGGGCTAAAAATTGATGAAGATTTAGTACGATTTAATTCTTTTCCCGACCAAAAACAATACAAATCCAGGGCTTGTTTAATCGCCTCACAGCAAGATTGCGTAGCCTCAAAGTATATGATTTAGAGTTGCATACATTTTTTTATTATTCTAACTTTAAATTGCATAAAATTCTCGGGTGTATATAATTTTTCTTAATAACTTCTGATTAGAATTTAATACTGAGGAATCTCCAAACTTCCAAGAATATACATGTAATCCCAAACTATGAATTTTATATTTCTTAAATGTTATTTCTGTATGACTATAATCTTCTCAAATTTTGAGTTATGTTTAGCTAATTTTTTTTAAAATTTAAGTCACTATTAGCAAATAAATAGTGATATTGTTAAATTGAGACATGTTTATGATAAAGTTTCAAAAGTTAATCAGATGATTCACAAATGACATAAAGTTTTAAGAAAATTTTGTATAATTTAACCTTATTTTTAAATAAATTTTTGAAAAAAAAATCATATTAAAGGTACTTATACTTTCTCTTAATTTTTAAGTTGGTATCTATGTGCTTTTTTCTTAATTAAATCATTTCATTTTATTTTTTAGCAACATTAGCTCTTATAACTTTATTCTATTACCATTTTTAGTCTCTATACGTGGGTTAAAGATGTTAATAAGACAAAATTAAATATTTAATTAAGAGAAAAAACATATATGTACCAAATTACAAATTAAAAAAAAATATAGGTACCTCAAAATGGTTTTTTCTTTTCTATATTAATAATTTTTTGTAGCAGTCAGAGAAAACGCGTAACGGATGTTGACTAGACAAATTTTGCTGAGAGAGAACACATAAAATCTATTCTCAGACATCGTAAAATCTATACGTCCTGGGCGGTTGTCGAGTTTTTCCAACTTTCAAACACGAAGACGCCTTGACTAATGGCTATAGATCTCTTCATCCTTGCTTGCTGCCTCGGAAAGATTCTCATGCCATGAAAAGGGTGGGCCCATCTCTCTCGCAACGTAATGAATTTTTCTAAACATGAGATTGTGAGTTTAAATAAAAGGCAATAAATGCGTGAATTATATGATTAAAAAAATGAGGATTTCATGTGAGTTAAGAAATGCAGTTAAGATCAATCGCTATACCTTAAATTTTTTTTCAAAAAATATCTTTTTTGACCAAGTCTGTGCATCAATTTTTCTTAATTATGTTCTAGTTTCTAAACAAATTTAAATAATCATCGTTACATTTTTCCCTCTGAAACAGGCGGTAAAGGAAAATATTAGTTTCCTTTAAATATGCTGCCTTCAGTATTTAATATAAGAACTAGTTTGATATTTAATTTGATCCTAAATACAAGGTCCTAATTTATTTTGTCTCTCATATTTATCTATTTTTTTTATATAAAATAATCTCTACAATAGTTGCACATGTTAAATATTTTATTAAATAATAATTTAACTAACACACATGATTCGTAAGGGTGTTTTAGAGAAGAAAACACCTATCTATTATAAATAACAAATTTAACTAATTTTTTTAATCTTCCCAAATTAATCAATTGGGTTCTATATTATGTAACAGAGGTACTATATAGAACACAGAATAATCATTTTTAGATATAAAAGATATATAATTAAAGTGAGGAGAGAATTTCAACAGTGTTAATAATGTTATTGTCAAACGTATCGAAATAGTTTTTCCTAACCTCTACTTCACAAAAGTTGCCACCCCATTGTATACGATGACATCTTATTAGTACTAGTATTTTATAGGAAGAAAGACATCAAAATACTTTCAAAAATGCTAAAGAATAAATTAGGGTGAATGAATTTCAAAATCTCAAATTAGACTCTTTGTACTATTTTAAAATTTTAAAATATTATGAAATGACAGCACTATCCTTATTCCCGATGACTGCTTTCATATAGCTATTGACTACTTTAATTTAACTATTGATTACTTTTATTTTTAAAGTTTCGATGACTACTTTTATATAGCAGTCGCACAAGAGTAGTAAGAAAACCAATAGGAAAATCTACGGATGATTCTGGGTAATAAATAATTTAGTCAGATCCTTTTTCGGATAAATTGAGATTAAAAAAACAGTGATGCTTTATAAAATAGAAAAAAAAACCCTAGAATTTGTTAAAGGACAAATAAATGCGGGCAAATTTCCAAATCCTAATTCAGACCTCTTGTAGCATTTTAAAATATTTAAATCTTACAAAATTACACAAACGTCCTTCAATATTCTTTTTTTAAATATTGCCATCGTAGCACTCTTAGATCCAGTGACCTTATGGGTGGCTAGCCGTTAGAGCTTCGGTGACTGTTCTTTTTGTGTTTTGACTTTTTTTATTTTTAGCTAATGACTATATTTGTTTTTAGAACTTCTAAAGAGAAAGAAAGATGAAGAGAGAAAAGAGAGAGTTGGTGGAAAAAGAAGAAATGATGCGCCTGAATACTCAAAACCTAACGCCCTATGTTGCATTCCCTTCCGAAGCTTTACAACTTCAATAATATGATTGATCTCATTTGAAGGCACACAAACAGACAAAGAGAGTGGGGCAAGGGAGTGTACAGCTGTGTCATAATCAGCTCAGCTTTTGCCTCAGACCAGGCCGAACGGATGTTGGTAAAACTTGTTTTTGCCATATAAACTTCCATCAATGGAAGAGTCCAAAACCCAGAGAGAGAATCATGCAGAAAAGAAATTCCATTTTGATGGGAATTTAAAAGTTCTTTCCTTTATTTGCATGGATATGTTGAACAATATTGTATTACTGCCCTCCATTGGAGTTTAGATTCTCCATTGGAGACTGTTAGTTGTATTACTGCCCTCCAGGAGAACGTGGCAATAAAAATTGATACTCGTGCTTCCGATCTCCGAAAACAATTGTGTTCCACTCAGCTGGGAATTGTGAATGACAAAGAAAATCCTGAGAGACTCGTTTACCCTTCAGATTTTGAGTCCAAACTCAAGGACGCAATCGCTTCTGGGTTAGTTGAAGAGTGTTACGACGCTTTTGTCCCTTGGCGAAAACAGTTCTTAAACGACAAGATGACTACTACCGGGTTTCAGAATCTCAGCATCAATGAAGTCCACAGGTTGCCGATGAAAACTCCCAAAAACGACATCCAAGAATGGACAAAAGCTTGTCACTTCGTCGTTAAGACGCTGTTTCCTCAGGAACGGCATGCCTGCAGTGTCGTCTTCTCGGCGCTCTCTCGTCGGGACGAACTGTCCTTCATGGAAGTTTGTCGGGGAATAACGACACAGCTATTGAATTGCGCCAAAACCGTTTCGACCACAACGCTATCACCGGAGCGTTTGTTCAGAATTGTCGACGTTTTGGACACATTGGAGGAGATTTTGCCTGACACGGAATCACTGTTCCGTAATAAGATTTGTGAGTTTCTCCACGATGAAGCTATCGCAGCGAGTAAAAGACTCGGAGAAGCAATCAAAGGGTCTTCATAGAGCTAGAGAATCTGATTCTTTAAGACCCGGCAAAGGTAAATACACACGAGTCTCCATGCCTGATTTGCATTTACCCGTTCTGATCATTTTTTCGCTTTATGAAATTATATGCTTCATATAATGACGCGTAAAATTACGAGCTTCTCCCATCATCTCTTGCTTCCATCTCTAGTCCCTCACTCCATTCATTCTTCGCTTCCTTCGATCTTAAGGCGGTTCTCTTTGATGAATAAGATGGCCACCAAGTTGCAAACTCGAACTTGTTGGAAATTTTCCCATCACTGCTCCCAAAAGAGGACGTGGGTAAGCTTTATGAAGAGCCAGAACCTTGGCCATCGTGTCCTTAACCTCCTTGTCGCTGACTTTTAATTCCGATCGTGAGAGCTTCATCTCCATCTCGTTCTGGAGCTTCCAGAAGAGCCCCGTAGTGTTGAGTTGCTCCTCCGCAAGCTGTGTCTTGAAAGCGGGAGCCAGGGTAGATCCGGCGAGGGTGATGGAGTTGAGGAGGCGGGTGTTCCAGTTGTCCCGCTGCTCGCCAATGTTGTGGTCCATCCATCTCTACTCGATCGGCTACTGCTTCGAGGATCACGTACAATCCGATCTGATCAAATCATCGCCGCGAAATTGTGAGACGGTGAGGTTGGTTGTGAGAGGGAAGAATTGGGTGGGGGAATATACTCGGCATTTTTGCCGAAGTTTAAATGCATTAGGAATCAAACTTGCCTACGCAAAATTTAATGGGAATTAAACCTAAATCATCTATATTTTATTTGAATGATTTAGATTTAATTTTTTTTATTTTTTTTATTCAAAATAATTATTTTAATATGTATATAATTTAAAATATAAATAATCTCTTAACTATCGTTCTTTCATAAAATAATTTTTTCTATTTAAAAATAATTAATTAAATATTTTAAATTTGAACTATTCAAATAAGATATATACGATCGAAATCTGATGAGTTTAGAATACTCATCAAGATGACGAGCATTGAAACTGATTTCTAATTAATGTTGATGCACCTCAAAAAAATACCTAAGCTCTTAAATAATTAAATACTAGTTATTATATATGCCCATAATATTTTCATTCCATGGCACGCAGCTAGCAAGAGCCAGCAGAGGTGGGCTTCATCCGACAAACCGTTATGTAATGAACTACCTAAGAGCTGCTTGCCAATGTCGGCAGCAACTCGAAAGAGCTTTCGAGGGCACCCTTGTTTCATCGCTGCCATCATCGTGCTCGTCTCCCGCTTTATCTGAGCAAATGCTTCGGATTGTGGATTTGCTGGAGACCAATCTGGAGGCTAACTCTAAGATCTATGATAATGACCCAGCTCTGTGCTCTTTTTTCATGATGAACAATATAAGATACATAGTTCAAAATGCCATGAACAGTGAACTTGCAGACCTGTTAGGTGGCCATTGGATGCACAAACACATTTTAAAGGTGAACCAATACCGTGAGACTTACCAGTGAAGTTCTTGGGATAGAGTGCTTGAACTGTTGAACATTATGGACTCTGAGGGGACACTTGTTCAATCCCAACTTGCCAGAGACAGGTTTGAGCTCTTTAAGTTGCAGTTTGAGAAGATTTGTGAGAACCAGTCTCCATGGTTTATCTTTGATGACCACCTTAGAAATGTCATTACGACTTCACTGAGGAGAACTATGCTGCTTGCCTATGAGAATTTCATGATCAAGTTCCTAAGTGATGTCGAAACTACTGGAGATTTCGGAGTCCAAGTTATAGAGGGTCATATGAACCAGCTGTTTCTGGGAAAAGACGAGCACACAAACCCCAGGTAACAAGTGCGCGCGCGCGCGCGTTTTCCTTTTGGGTATTATTACGCAGAATCATTTGTAGATTTTCCTATTGCTTTTCTTAAAATATCAAAGCATAATCTGATTGTACGATGAATCTGTTGCAGAAATATTCAACCAACATGGACGGCGATATTACCGAGTGCAAAAGATTTTCATGAATGGAGGGAGTATGGTGAGAAGACGATCCTCAATTGCACGCACCCAAGGTAATTTCATAAACTGTACGTACAAATTAAAGGGTTATATTGACTTGTATAAATGCAAGTTTTTTCTGGGATAATAAACCTATCCACTTTAATTTATTGCTCCCCGCTAGTTCAGCTTTTATTTATGTAAGTTGGGTGTTAATGCGAAATTTATAAACATTTAAACAACTCATGGATTCCTATATATGGGATTTTATCGGCAGAAAATACTATCGGTGCATATACAGGAATGATCAAGGTTGTAGGGCGACAAAACATGCTCAACAAATACAAGAAAATCCTAGGTTGTACAAGATTCACTACTCTGGATTCCACACATGTTGCTTTTAAAGGCTTAATAATTATATTGATCTGTACGGAGGATGAACCCTTCAAGTATACCAATGTTGTTAAGTTTCTTGAAGTAGTTAATTACTATGCTTTTGGTGTTAAATTTGTAATATTAGCTTCAGTTCTAATTATAAAACCTTATTTATAGTCTACAAATAAAATCTATAATTAGGACCGGAGGTAGTAACAAAGGGTGTGCAAGACTGAGGGATTGGTCACGAATCCAGTTATGCTCCATATATCCTTTTATGTTCATTTCTCCATATATACTCAGTTTTAATATCTAATGGCCAGAATGCAGCCCATTATATATAGATGTGCAGTTTTTAACTTTCTATTATCCTCTAAATATTCACAAGAAGAGAGGTAATTTACTTAATTCAAAAAAAAGAATATCAAGAGAATTATTTTAACTTGCAATCTCTCATGCACGCCAGGTGTTAAATAAAGACACCAAACAACTGAAATTTCAATCACAACAATCAAAAGGTGTGAATGGGTCAAAGTAAAAGACCAAACAAATTTTTTTCCAAAAAAAAAAATAGACTACTTGAGGTAGAAACTACTTTAGCATGTTTTTGGATGGCCGCTTGCAAAACACACGTTCAAATATTTTTCTATGAATGAATGTAATAACTATGTATCTGGCTTTGACCTATCAAAGAAACTAAATAAATTACTTTCGATACTTAATACTAGTTCCAGTACTTAATATATATATATATAAGAGCTTGTTTGATTTTTATTGTGTCTTAAGAATAAGATCCCAATTTACTTTGTCTCTCATATTTATTTATTTTTTTAAAGATAGTCCTTGTAATAATAGTAGTTCTGGCCAATATACTTTATTAACAAAAATATTTTAGAAAAGACACGCCTATTTATTACAAATAACTAACTTAGTTAGTTTTCTCAATCTACTCAAATTAGTCAACTAGTTTTTATGTTAAGGATTGGGATAGTATATTTGAATCTCGCCAGGATATGTTAAAACGGTATCTAGTGAGCATCAAACAAGTTTCTAATAATGTTGTCCTTGTGTTTGCAAGAGGATAGTCATTAAAAAGACTTGAGCTTCCATGCATGCATTATTTGAAGAATTGAGCTTCCATGCATGCATTATTTGACCAGGAGTGTGCATTTAATAATAATTATTTTAAACGAGTGTCTTGAGCTTAAACATACTTTAATTATTTACTATTGGTTACCATTGCTTTGCAGTAGCAAAGAGACTGGGCTTGTATACAGCAATTTGCAGATGATACTGTTATAGAATCAAAATGGCCTGCATATTATACTTTAATCAAACACAAGATTGCCAATTTTCCCATCACAAAGGTTGACAAGTGTAGGATAGAGATTAACATTCTGTTAAGTTAAGTTGAATTGTAAAGTTTGTTATTCAATTATATCTAAACTATTGTGTATATATACCATCATACTAATTTCAGTTCTAATTATAAAATCTTATTTGTACTACAAACGAGATAAACAAGGTCTTATAATTAGAATCAGAGGTAGTATACCATTAATGAAAGTGTCAGGTCATTTCTTCTCAATTTCTCTTTTCTCACTCCAAGTCACAAAGGTCTTCTAGAATTTCTAATCTTTTTGGTTTTCATGCGCACAAATATATGAAAGTATGGTTTTGAGCTGCTCTGTTATTGTTCCACCTCAGTGTCTTCTATGGCAAATCAATAAAGCTAGCTTACAGGCGGGTTTATTGAAATGAAAGCCAACCTGAGCCTGCCACATGTATTTACATTTTTTTAAAAATGATTTTTTTTTCAATTTTTTCTTATATAACG